TAATTATTATATAAAAAATACATAAGTCCGATTTTATTATTATAAATCTGAATTATTATTATCATTGTAAGTATTTTTGATTGCAAAACAGAAAACTCATTAGGGAGCTCAAAATGATATACCATTATTCCAATACCTATAAATTAGGGGTGTGTCCACTCGATTGACTTTTTAAGAAGAATATATGCATAGACTTTAAGGCATAGGCTATTATCCTTCGCACAAAATATATAAATCATATAGAAAATATATCTATACTAAACATAAGTCGATTAGGTGCTGGAAATTCTATATTTAAGAGTTTGAAAATAAAGACAAGAATCTATAAATTTCTTGTATTTATTTTTAATCTTAAATATCGAATTTCCAGCACTGGCTGCTTGGCATTCCAGAATTAACTAGTTGGCTCGACGTTGCTCTAATGAACCGCGTTTGGTATGCATTAACCTATAGCCGCACACTTTGGCCTCATTATACTAAACCTCATCGATTGCTATGTACTGACCGTTCACTAATTAAGCTCTTTTTTCTGCTTCCCTGGGGCAGCGGCAGGTGCGCCAGGTGCGCCCGGTGCGCATGTCTCATTAGCGTGCTCTGCGCGTAATTAACGCCACAGACTTCCAATAAGTAGCAAATGCAACTGTCTACGCAATCAAAGCATTTGCAATTATGACATTGATTACGCGCTTAGCCCCATGAATGGCTCATAGCCAGAGGGGCAATACAAAAATAAGTATTTATAGCCAATTCATGGTTGATGCACAGGGGAAATGGAGGACCCTAAAAGCGCGCCTCATTGGGCGCGATGCCTAGATAGTGATAAATTGAGAGAAAATGCGAAAAGAAGAGGAAATGAAATAAAGCTCATATCGGGAAAAAAAATTGTGAGCCCAAAATCAGTTGACATTGGGCATATAGACTTGACTCTCCCTCTCCTTCTCTATGTATATTTCTCTCTTTTCTCATTACCCATTGCCAATCAAATTATTTGAAATATAAATTATTTAAAAATGCTGCAACAATTCGAGCTGCGTGGGGCAGAGCGAGCCTGCGTCCATTGAGTACAGGGTGTTTGGTTAAATGGGCGAGCACTTAACGTGATTGTTGCCAGCGTGAAGCACCCTGTACAGTGATTGCACCTTTTTTGTAGGTCTCACTTAAATATATGAGCAGCCATATACAATGTTATGTATGCTGCAGATCAACGTAGATTCCCAGCTGGGTCTCGGCTCAACCAAATCATGGTTGTTAATAAGGCCGATGATGAGCCTGCTACAGCTACAGCTACAGCTACAGCTACAGCGGCAGCTACTGCTGTCTGTCCACTGTTCGCCGTTCGTGTATTGATGAGAACTCAATAATTCAATACGGCTGCTTGGGCGGTCATTAAGGGCAGTGAGTGGGCAAAGGCAGAGCAGCGCTCCTGAGTGGCTGACCCGACTGTTTCGAGTGGCCGCCCGTATGCGAGACATGCGAATAACTACACACACACACTCACACTCACACACTATGCACAACGGAAAGGTCGCTTATAATAACGTTATGCATGCTTTTAGGCGCACAAGGACAAGGCAGGTCCTTAACGAGCTACCAGCTACAGCTCGAATCCTGCCGCTTGTCGTGCTGCTCGCTGCTGCTATTAAATTTATCGCTGCACAGCATCAACAGCCACGCCCACAAGAGTGCAACTGCAGTTGTTTATTATGCATGGCGTGGCAGCCACAGTGAGCCACAGTGAGCCAAGTTCGCTTTTAAACTGTGCCAAGATTATTCCCTCTATTTTGCGCTTCAATGACTCTTGCCGTTCAAAACTTGGCTAAGTTTAATACATCTCAATCTAAGCGCCTGTCGTTGTGTCTACCTGAGTGAAAGAGAGAGGGAGACAGAGAGAGAGAGAGAGAGAGAGCGAAAGTTGCCATAAATGTTGATAAGACATGTTTGTCAGTCGCTTTACCAGCACCTGCTCACCTGCCCAGCTGATTGAGTGGGCAAATGTGTAAAGTCTGCCAATTTGTGTGGCCTGATGATAAATGCATGGCCTGGCATTGTACAGATTGTTTTCTTAGCACACAGAGCCGGCAGCTTACATGGACGTACCGTACGCAGTTTGGTGTGCGGCTATTCCGGATTTATTCAACAATCTGTAAGCCTATTATTGCCAGCAGTCTCGCTTGACTCCAATTGAGCTCTCGGTTCTCGTAGCTGCACAATAGTATTTACTGTAGTAATAACAAATGCCAGAGCGCTTCGTTAGCCATGCTTTAACCTTGCCCACACACAGCCGACTGTCTAAGCCCATTGCCATCACATTCCGACAGCCATTTGCTCCATTTGCGCCATTTGCGACACAGCTGATTGCTCTGGTCAGCGGCCATTTGTTGGCAGGAGTCAGGCCAGTGTCGCTGCCGCTGCTGCTGTTGCTGCTGCTGCCGCTGCTGCTGCCGCTGTCATTGATGGCATCTCAATCAAGGCTGTCATATGCAGTGACACGGCCCTTCAACGCCACGCGCCACGCGCTGATGAAGCTCCACAATTTCCGCAATATTCTTGTAGCTTTGCTCTTTGCAGTTGGCCAACTCTTTTGCTTTTCTCTTTGCCTTTGTCTTTCATGATGATTGCTTGACGCGCTCGAAGCACGCAAATTATGTAGATGTAATTGGCAATCGGCAATTGGCCCCATGGTCTAACTGTTATTCATGACCATTTGACGGTGCTCAAGCTAACAATTTATGATTATATGCCTTTAAAGATTGTCAAGATATAAATTTATGCTACTATTTCTACTACAAACAGCCAATCAAGTGAGAAAATGTACTGGAAACGAGCTCTTATCGAATATTTGGTATAATTTTATGGAGCTTAGTTTATATTGGTATTGAGTGTGGCTGGCATTCCGTGTGGCATCAGATTAGTAATTGTCTTGATTGCGCCAATGCTGAGTATAACGCACGAGAAATGGATAAACTAGGGGAATATTTTCTACATATGTACATATATTCTATATATGAGAAGCAGACACTGTATAGCGCTTTTGTAACGATAATTAAGAATATTGTTGACTATTATCTACAATCATATGATACAATTTGTTTTTTTTTTTTAACTCCCTTTTATTCTTTTTGAAACCAAATTAATCGTATCAGTCTTTTTTAAACTTTTTTTTTTAAATCCTTTGAAAAAGCATAGCAAAAATTCAGTTACTCAAATGCATTCCAAGTACAATTGGGAATATATTCCATATTAAAAGAAGTACTGTAGATATATATGTACTTATTTCTTGAGAGCAAAAATCCTATCATGAAGCTTCCTAATAAAAATGGCTATATAAGCTGACAGAATTATGAAACCTTCAATTAATTTGTATTTAAATACTATATTATATAAGTCGTCCTGTGCATATCAGAAGGTTAGGCTATTTATATTATTTTCTGTGTTCTTAAGCTACTATATTTGCATTGTACAGATTCAACGCTTAAAATTAAAACAAAACAAAACAAAAACCAAAAATCAAAAAGACTATATTCATTTGCAGCTTATGCTTGTTAACTGTTTTACATATATTAGCATACTTATATGAAGGGCTTGGATTTTAATAACTCGGCAGACCGACAAGGCTATTACAAAATGTGTGTTATAATCGCGTTAACAAGCTGCACTGTGCTGCAGCTGATTTGGCTTTCAGCAAACGAGCGCTTCAAAAAACCGCTGCTGCTGTCCCTGGCATGTCCGGCACAGTGAAAAAAGCTTTGTTGGTATAAAAAAATAGAAAAATGGTAACAGAATTCTTAAATATCAAACGGATTTAATTTACATAAAACACAGACCGAAAAGTAGCTTTGTTTAAAATTAGTTTAGAAAGAACAGGCTAAAATGCTCGCCCAGATTGTGGGTGTTGTGCAGCTCCTCCCCGGGCTCGTCGAAAAATATCTGGAGCAAGACAGTGGCGCGAATGCAGCGCGTAATTGCATTGGACATGATCAACAGCTTAAAGAGGATGGTCATGATTATCTTGCATATATTATCCGGCTGTATGTCGTCCACATTGCGCGTCACTTGGATAAGGCTGCAAACCAAGCTGTACATGCTAGCCAGCCAGCAGCTGATAAACATCAGCAGGTAGGGTCCGAAGTATACGAACATGCGCTTATTCATGGGCACCCGCTCTCCCTGCACCTCGTCGCTCGGATTGCAGAAGTTGCAGCGCGAGCACTGATAGATCCGGAACAGCATCATGAGTATAACGAAGACCACGTAGCCCTGTGTGCGCACATCGAAGGTCAGCAGCGAAGAGTAGGTTACCAAAAAATTTAGATACCGCAACCAGAGGAACCACTTGTGCTTCTCCCTGACTAGCGGCACCACGGCCGCCGCCTGGAGCATTAGCCATAGGTACGCAACTGACAAGAAGCATCGCAGCAGACACATCAGAGTTCGTCTGTATTTCCGACGCTCCTGCACCTCTGGCATCCTTAAGACTTGATGTCAGCTTAAAAATCAAACACGAAATTGAAAAGAATTTTTTATTTATTTATTTTGTTACTTTTTATTTGCTTAATAAAGTTATACAGAAGCGAAAGGCCAACTACACACACACACTTTGTGGGTTTAAATAGAAAATGATGAAAAATTCCCTTTTATGACAACTAAATAGCAGACGAGTCGATCCCAAGCTCTACTCAAAGTTAGTTTATAGTAATATATAAAGTAAATATATATATATTTTTTGCTTTGCCTGAATGCCAAAGTTCAATCAAAGCTACAGTAATAAATCAAATGCTAAGGTCAGCTATAAAAATATGCATATACTTTAAATAAATGTTAGCTATTGTGCATTATCTGGCGCTGATTTGTCAACACTAAATAGTATGCATTATAAATCTATTTATAAACTATTTGTAGGACTTGCCCACAGAGAGCTACAAATTAAATATTTATTATCACGTAATATATAATTATATGTAGCCGAAGCGAACAATCACAGATGCGAGTTTTGGACAAGGAGTTAAATGTCAAAGTTTAATCATAGGTCAAGCGCGAAATTCGATTTCCCTTTAATAGTAGTGAATAATCGCATACCCTCTAAATTGATTTAAATTGATTTTTATTTATTTAAAAATATT